TCCTTTATTTTGGAAAAAAAAAACGGCACCGTTGTGTACTTGGTATATAATTTTTTTTTGTTTTGATTGTGGCATTATTGATTTTTAAATGCATTACTGCATTATAAACACAGGTAGCGCCACATGTTGAGTTATGCTTCCATCTCTGGGAAACCAAAGAGGATCTCTTAGGATGGGGTGTGACAAGTACATTCTGATGTATGGGGTCCAATAAAGAATATTGCATCTAATAAATATCCTTATTTTGTGACATTTGTGGATGATTATTCTTATATGACTTAGTTATTTTTTATGAAATTTCGGTATGAAATAGTCTCTATATTTGAGACATTTCGTTAGGAAATAAAAACTCAATATGGTTGTCGTATATGTACTTTACGTTTCGATAATGCTCAGAAATATAAATCTGATCCTTTTTTAGCTTATCTTAGTAAAACTGACATTGTTCATCAGACTTCTTGTGCTTACACCTCTCCACATAATGGTGTTGCTGAACGCAAGAACCGTCATTTGTTGAAAGTCACCCGTGTCCTGTTATTCTAGATGAATATTCTCCGATATTTTTGGAGTGATGTTGTTCTTACTGCTTATCACCTTATTAATCGTATCTCATCCTCTGTGTTAAATGGACGAAGTCCATATTCTGTCATTTTTCCTAGTAAGCCCTTATTTTTCCTGACTCCTAAAGTTTGGATGTGTCTGTTATGTTCACAATTTCAATCCTGGGTTTGATAAACTTGACCCTTACCAAATTTGTATTTCTTGAGTACTCCTGCACGCAAAAGGGGTATTGTTGCTACAATCCTTCTCTGCGTCGATACTTTACTAGTGCAAATGTCACGTTTAAGGAATCTGTTGCATATTTTTCAGCACCTTCTCAGCCTTTGGATCTAGACTTTGGGTCATCTCCTGTACCACCATCTCTTTCCTCATCTTCAAATATTCTGCTGCCCACTGTGTTACCATTTTACTTTACCTCTCTGTGTCTACTCTCGCCGTCCTCGCCCATCGACTGAGATGCATGTACCGTCTTCCTTGATACCTTCTAATTTTGGTACATCAGGTAATTTAGACTTTTTACCTATTGCTCCTTAAAAAGGTATTTGTTCGTGTGTTACTAATCATCTCATTGCTCATTTTGTTTCATATGATGTCTTGTCTCATGTATTATCTTTTTTTACTTTCCAATTATCTACTATATCTATTCCTAAGTATTTACAGGATGCATTATCTGATCCGGGTTGGAGGAAAACTATGGAGGAGGAGATGGATGCCTTACATTATAATGGGACTTGAGATCTCATTCCTTTACCTCTTAGTAAACGAACTATTAGTTGTTGTTGAGTGTATACTGTTAAATTTCATCCGGATGGTTCTATGGAGCGTCTCAAACCCTGGTTTGTTGCAAAGGGCTTTACTCAGACTTATGGTGTTGATTATGAGGAGACTTTCTCTCCTATTGCTAAAATTTTCTTTGTTCGTATCTTGATTTTTTTGGTTGCTAATCTTGATTGGTCATTGTTTCAGTTAAACGTCAAAAATGTCTTTCTACATGGTGACTTGGTTGAAGAAATATATATGGAGCAACCACCTGGGTTTACTACTCTAGAGGAGCATGGTAAGTGTGTATGTCGGTTAAAGAAATCTTTGTATGGTTTGAAGCAGTCACCAAGGGCATGGTTTGGTAAGTTTTTCGATGTAATTTTAGAGTTTGCTCTTCTTCGATGTCAGACGGATCATTCTGTGTTTCATAGATAGACAAATGCTGGATATGTTCTATTGGTGGTCTATGTAGATGATATTGTGATTACTGAAAATGATTCTGAGGGGATTGCCAAGTTAAAAATATTCTTGCAGGATTGATTTTATACTAAGGATTTGAAAAAACTCAGGTATTTCTTGGGTATTGAGATGACTCAATTTAAATAAGTTATTTGTTCACCTCAGAGGAAATATGTACTTCACATGCTAGAGGAAGTAGGTTTGTTGGGTGGCAGACTTATTGATGTTCCTATGGATCTGAATCAGAAACTTTTGATGGATGATGGTGCATTGTTTGAGAATCCAGGTCGGTATCGCAGATTGGTTGGGAAGCTCAATTATCTCACTATTACTTGACCGGATATTTTCTATGCAGTCAGTATAGTAAGTCAGTTCATGGAATACCACATTTCCTAGAATACCACATTAGGAGACAGTTACTCGTATTCTATGATATCTCAAATGTGCTCTTGGACTTGGACTGTTATATCGAGCTAATGGACATCTTAGAGTTGAAGGTTTCTTAGATGCTGATTGGGCTGACTCTCCTTTTGATCGGAGATCAACCACTGGTTATTGTACTTTTTTAGGAGGTAACGTTGTCTCATAGAAAAGTAAGAAACAATCTGTAGTAACAAGATCCAGTACTAAGGCTGGGCAATAACACATACGACGAGTGAATTGACTTGACTACTACACTTCCTCCAGGAAATTGAGTTTCCAGTTCAACTTCTTTTACAGTTGTTCTATGACAACCAGAAAACTATCTAANTAAGGCTGGGCAATAACACATACGACGAGTGAATTGACTTGACTACTACACTTCCTCAAGGAAATTGAGTTTCCAGTTCAACTTCTTTTACAGTTGTTCTATGACAACCAGAAAACTATCTAAATCATTGTCAATCCGATGTTTGACGAGAGCATCAAACATATTGAGGTTGATTGTCACTTTATTCGGGACAACATAGTAGCGGGGGAGATTACAACTCCATTTGTGAAATCTAAAGATCAGCTTGCAAATATGTTTACCAAAGCATTGAGTCGTACACGTCTTACAACGATTTGTTCCAAACTTGAATTATATGATATATATAGTCCAACTTGAAGGGGAGTGTTAAGAATATTATGGTAGTATATGTAAATTGTTAATAGTAAGATGGTATATATGTAATTCTTATTATTGTGAGTTAACTATAAATACAAGTGATATATGAGAATTATGTTAAGTTTTTAACCTTTCTCTGTTTCTCTCTAGTATTATGTTAATTTTCTACACCTAACAAAGAGTAATACTATTGGAACCTATAATTTGTTAATTTAATGAGATGATAGTGATATAGTTCAATAGTGTTATTATGACTATAACTAGTGAACTTTTTCATTAGGACTTCATCACTTATCACTCATTATATTAATAAATTATGTTAATTTTTTAGATCCCAATAATGTTGCTCTTTTTTGTTTTTTGTTGTACAAGGTGGATAGTCTGTCTTTGACTAGATCGGAGAGAAAATTAGTCGAGGTGTGCATAAGTTGGTCTGAACTAAGGTATTCACGAGGGATAAATCCCTCATTGCTTGATCTCAATAAATTGTCAAGATTCGAATTCAAGACGTTTGAATTATAGCTCGTCTCTTTTATCACTTGAACTACCTTTGAGAATGTTTTGGATGGTAAAAGACTCATCTATAAGTTAAATTAATGAACAATGCCAAGTTTGTTTTCTTATTCTTGGGTTATTGCTATGCCATTTTTCCTTTTGTTGTGATGGTGAATTAAATGCGATGGCATTCCACATTAATAGTGGTTGTGAAGGATGTACATGTTAGTGTACATTTTAATCTGCTTATTCTAGTTTTAGGCCCCTTCAGTCTTCACATATAATATGCTTACAAAGGAAAAAAAAACACAAGAAACTCACCACAATGAAAGACTTAAATAATTATACCAACTACAAATTTTCATTACTAATTTATATTGCATCATATCCTCACAAAAACATCAAGACGATATAAACAATTTCAATTTTCATTACAAATTTTTGTTGCCACACAAAATAACTTTCACACTCAATTTCTCTTAATCAAATTGTCAACTAGACTGCCTAGGCTCCTCAATGCATCTTCACCACAACCATTACCAGATAATGTCCAAATGAGAAACCACGAAATTAGTATTGCAATTCACAGAAAGAGCTCTTTTTTTTTTTCTGTCTTTTTGTGCTTAATTTTTCTACCACCGAAACTCTTTTTAGGAGTATTGGAATAATTGTTGTGCATGGGGACACATAGGAGGGCCGTACCAATCGAAGAACCCTACAACCTCCATTTCATAAGTATACATACATTTTAGAGACATTACAATCTATAAATTATTTGTGCCACTCTTTTTTAGATTTTTTGTCAAATAATTGAAGAAATTAGGACAGAGAACTGATGAAATTTACCATGGACATATAATTAGAAAATAACCTCTTGGATTGTTATGAATCCAACCATTGTCCAAAAGTCTTAGGACTTGTGAGGGTTAAAGCTTATAATTATTTGAACGTAATATTACACCACACCTAGAGTCGACGTCCACACCAACAATAGCCCTTTCTCTTTGACGACTTTAATCACCTACTAGTATTAACGCAATAGCACTATGCCCATATATAAAATTAAGACATTTTAATCCAGCCTATATGTCATCTCTTTCGTGACTTGACTCATGACGTGGTGCCTGCTTTGATATCAATTGTTATAAACCTAATCGTTGATCCAAAAATTTCAAGAATTGAGGGGGGTTAGAACTCATAACTATTTGAACGTAACATTGATGGATTTAGATTAGTCTAGGAGGCCTTCATCATACCTCTACTCTAAGAATAATAGTGTAAACATCTATGGCTTCTCTCTCTCCCACACACACTCTCCCTTTTTTTGACCTAGTTTCCTTTCTATGTTGCTAGAACAACTCAATCTATTTGTCTCCTTTTTTTTTTACCCCCTTCTTTGCTTCTTTTTTCTCAATATCCAGTCACATACACTGGTAGGTTTAAATAAGAGAGCATCAATCAAGTTGGAGGGACAACATTGACGCCAATTTTACATACGATTTGAAGTGTCAATTCTACCTCCGATCAAAAGTCACGTGCAGGTCACATGTTAAAATCTGTCTAATTTAACGGCGGATTTTAACGGAAGGAGTTGACCGAAACAATTCAAGGTTGAGAATAATTGAAAACAAAGGTCTTATAAGTTATTTATGAGATTTACCCAATCAAAATTGGTCTTCGAGTTGTGAGGACGACAGGCCCAAATTACGGAAGCTGTGGCCCAAATATCTGGGTAGGATGGTAGGCGCAATTTGGGACGCCTATGGGAACAGACGGCTACCTTTGCCCTCGGTGATACGACGCACCGGTCCAAGTAGCCCCGCGAACCCCTCCTGTTCATGACAGCGAGGTCGGCAGAGCTAGAGACTCTCTTCTTCTTCCTGCTTTGCTGCACAATTGGGGAAATCCTTCTGTTCAAATCCCAATTTGCTCGCAAAATTATCGATACGACCAAAGGATCTTCGGAACAATGGTTAAGACAAAGCATCAAAAGTCCAAACCTAGCAAACCACCTCGCGTAAGTCTTTATATTACCCATCCTGTTAATTCACAGTATTACCTCTTCTATTTCTGTATTTGTGTGTGTAGGTGCGTATATATATGTATGCTAAAATGTTTTAGTATCTCAATAGCTTAATTTTTTCTTAATTGTTTGATCTTATGTATCAATTACAATTTGTTGAATATATATATATATATATATATATATATATATATATATATATATTTTTTTTTTTTCAAATTATACATGAGTGCATGCATGCATGTTGGTGTAATGTAGATGATGTGCACTGAGCCCTAATTACACTAACCTTACTTTTCCTCTTCCGGTCCATAGGCGGATCCGCAATTGTCATTGCACTTATTCTTGTTCTGTGCTGCTTCAAGGTGTGGAATAATAGGCCAAATTAAATTTCTAAACAAGAATATGCTATGTTATGCACTTATTGTTGTGTAAAAATGACATTGTTATGTAAAGTAGCGGTAAATTTGTAATTATCTTGATCCTCGTGAGAGATATATGGGGAGCTTGGGCAAAGCTGCCTAATGGGTTAATGTGTACCCATGCTTGTGGAAATGGAATGACTTATTTTGAGTAACAAAAATAGTCTCGGGCTTTGTAAATTTGATCTTTTCCAAACCCCAATTGCGGGAGTATGAGTGCATTGGGCTGCCCTTTTTTATATACTATCAATACTTGAGGTTCGTTGGTCGTGAATAAATTTCATTAATAATTTTTTGTTAAACTTATAAAAAATATAGATTATATGTGGAATTGAATTGAATAAATAAATTATGTGTCAGAGAATTAATTCTTATTTTAATTCTTACTAAACCTAGTTATTGATCTATATATGTATTATATATTGATTGGAATTATTAGAGTTACTATTGTAGATCTAAGTTATAAAAATAAGTAGAGTGAATGACTAGAGACCTAATGCTATACGATAAGAAGAGTTTTAATTAGAGGTGACAATTGAGTCGTGTTGTGTTGTGTTCGGGTTTGAGTCAAAGAACCCTTAACTTGAACACGACCTGTTAAAATAATCATGTTAAAAAATTCAACACAAACTCGCCACGCTTATAACCCGTGACCCCAAACACGACCCTTCACAACACGTTTATGTGTTCAAGTCATGTCCATGTCACTCAACCCGTTCGACTTGTTAACCAATCCAACCCGACCTGCTACAAATTCGACCCGTTAACCAACCCAACTTGTTAACCAAACCGACCTATTACACAGTTAACCATTTTCAACCTATTTTACATACATTGTAGAGTCAGAATCCAAAAAAATAAAAAAACCTATTCAACATCAATAAAAAGTAAATTTAATCAAAAGTCATTCATTTGAATTTCTAAAGAAAATCTATAAAAATATAACACAACCAATTAACATATTCTAAGTTCTAATCAAATGTTACTAACATCTCAAAAACAACATATTCTAATTAAAATAGTACATATTGGATAATAAAAACAAGTTTTAGACACACATCAAGATCATAGTCCCAAAAAGTGAGGAGACTATTCTTCAACACAGTAGAGAATCCTTCAACACCACAATACAAAGAGTCTCACAATTCATACCACTTCATTTTAGAGTTAAAGTTAGAGTCAGTGATGATTGATGAACCAAAAAGTAATAACAATATTGAGGCTCATTGCAACAAACCTAGAAGTTTGGTCATGCTTCATTAACCACCACATTCAAACTTTTCACAGTGTTGCATCCATTTATGTTGACATTCATAACATCTTTAGTCAGCTCATCCAATTCTAATTTAGCACCTCCTAAATGGCGAAACAAAATAAATATAGATGTAAGAATGTTCTTTTCAATCAAACTAATAACACAATTTATATATTTACCTCTTTCTTTAAGCAACCAATCTTTAGTGCATATTAAAATCTCTACAACTTGAGGTTTTAATGCACTACGATATTGGTCGAGAACACGACCACCAATGCTAAATGCCGACTCTGGAGCAACAATAGAAACCAAAATGGTCAACAAATCACAAGCCATAATAGTAAGTTTTGAATATCGAAAATGGTGAGCATTTCCATAAGAAAGTACCTCAATATTTTCTGCTGTATCAACCAAAGGCTCATCCAAATATAATTTCAATTGCCTTTTATTTGCATTAGAAACAACTCTATTGTTCTTGTACAAGTTAAAGCCCTAAATTAGGAGAAAGAATAACACCTCACAATATACTCTTACAATAACATCAAATTTGATTGAATATAACTAAAACAAAAGTATATTCAAAAAATCAGTAGGCTTTCGAGTTAGATTTAACTCTCAACTAACTTCACTACGAGGACAAGAAGATATTGTTTGAGAAGAAGAATCTTTAGAAGCATTTTCCATATACTCATCAAATAAAGCAAACAGCTTCTCACGAACATTCATGCATTCTATTGACTCTTTACCGTAAAGCTCAATATAACACTACTCTACAAATTAAAATTTATGATGAGGATCAAATACCACTGCAATAGCCAAGATCACACTATGATCAAACCAATATTTCTCAAATTTTTCATGCATTTGATAAGTCATTTTCCTCATAAAACCATCCAAACATTGGGTCAGCTTACTTAAGATTAAATGAACAATGAAAACCTGATCAAAATGTAGATTTGTTGTTGGATACTTGGTGCTAGAAAATACACAAGTAACATTGTAAAAAACTTCTAAAAATTTCTCAATCTTTTCCACTTTATCCCATTCTTCTTGGGATGGACAATAATGAAAATTCGAATCAACAAGTTGCAAATGACTAAAGGCACGACAGTAGTAGATGACCCTTGTAAGCATGACATATGTAGAATTCCATCTAGTTGTAACATCTTGCTTCAAACCTTTCTTGTTATCTAGAGATGTTTGTGCAACACACTCTAAAAATTTTTGTTTTCTTGATTGAGATCATCTTACATATTTCACACATTCTCTAATCTTCTTTACAACAATATCTACTTCTCTCAAACCATCTTGGACAATTAAATTGAGAATATGAGCACAACAATGTACATGAAAATAAGAATCATCACTCAATAGTGCATTTCTCAAATTAAGTTGACCCTTGAGCATATTTACCAAGACATCATTTGCAGAAGCATTATCTAGAGTAATTGGAAACAGTTTCTCCATACCCCATTTACTTACCAAACTATTGATGATGGGGATCGTGTATAGATATTTTAGATTAATCATGAGAGTAATTTATTATTTATCTTTTAAGTATTTTCTTTTAACCTTTAAGAGTTTAGTTGTCATTTTAATTATTTATTTATTTTAAGGTTTGTGATCTCTTTATATATAATGGATTTGTTGTGATGAGACTAGACTTTGATTATTATTGATTATTGTTATTGATATTGAATCTTTCTTTTTCAAATTCTCTTTCTTCTTCTTTTCTTATCCCCTTTTTCTTCCCTTCTCATCCCTAATTCTTTCTTAATACGATCTACATCAATTTGGTATCAGAGCTCACCTCCTTCATACCAACAAAAGTCAATACTTGAAGAAAATGAGTTTGAGACTTTGTTAGAGTCAAATGTTGAGTCACCACTTGTAATGGAACTTGTTGAAAAGTCTGTCGAGTCCACACTTATAAAAGATGTCAAGCACATTGAGTTTCCTATTTCAGAATTTTTTGGTGATTGTTTTGTGTCTCCTATTTCAAGTCAATCTAACTTTGTTCCCAAGTCTTTCCCCTTTGAAATAGTTGACTTTATACCTACTATTAAAATTTCACTTGAGTTGATACTTAATTATTTTCAGCATCAAGGCGTCAATGTCACTCCTTTGTCATCGATATCTTGTCCAATTGAATACTTTTTGTTGAAACCTAATGAGAATTATTTTTCTATTCTCGAGTTTGAATCTAATGCTTATTTGCTTAATTTTTCATTGAATGTTAGTATTAGTCTAGATTTTTATTTTGAAGACATGCTATTTAATCGAGGTACTCTAGTGCCTCATATTTTATTAGCAAGTGTTCATGCAGATGGAGATTTTTGCATTTATCCTGATCGATGGAAAGAAGTTGATGGTTCTTTCATTCTAGATGAGGCATTATGTCATTTTCATCCTGCTCTCTTAGGGTACTTCTCTTTTGAAGACTTTCCAGAATAAAGTTTTTTTCAACTGGAGGACAATGGTAGGGATCGTGTAGGAATTGGATAGATATTTTAGATTAATCATGAGAATAATTTAGTATTTATCTTTTAAGTATTTTCTTTTAACCTTTAAGGGTTTAGTTGTCATTTTGATTATTTATTTATTTTAGAGTTTGTGATTTCCTTATATATATAGGATTTGTGAACTCCTTATATGTATAGGGATTAGGGGATAAATATTTGTTGTGAGACTAAACTTTGATTATTATTGATTATTGATATTAAATCCTTATTTCTCAAATTCTCTCTGTTCTCATCCTCTTGTTCTTCTCTTCTCATCCCTAATTCTTTCTTAATACGATCTATATCAATTGATTTTATCACCTAATGCAATGACACTAAGTGGGGGAGACATATAAGAGAAATTTAGAATTCTCTTATGCAAGACCCAATCTTTATCAATGAAATGGGCTATGAGGCTCAAATAACTATTAATAGCAATAGATGTCCATAAATCAGAAGTTAAATAAATCCTACCAGGCAACTCACGTAGCATTACAATGACCTTATTCATCTCTCTTACATGCAACTTAAGGATATCTGCCTTGGTAGGATTCCTTATAATATGTTTGACTTCAGGACGCAAAGATGTGAAAATATTTCTAATAGCCTCGTACTCAACAAAGTGAAATGGCAAGTCATGCTTAACTACAACACAAATTAACAATTCTCGAAATTTTTCTTCACTAAATTGCTTACATGTAGTGACAGATTTGTCATTTTGGCACAAAAGTAACTGACCTATATCACGTTTGGTGGTCTTTAAACATTTTTTTAAATGGCATTTAATATTACCTGTTTCACACTTACTATCAGTGTTGTATTCTTTCCCACACTTCT